AAAATCATTGTCAAAATATACAAGTCCCCAGGAGCCAAGAACAGAGGAGCAAAGGTTTCTGCTGACATTTCTGTGGAAACACACAAGGTACAAATACTGAGCATACATACTTCTGGCCATAGTGCTGGGGTTCAAATTGCAGCTCCATGCCTCACCATTTGTGCTGGGACCAGGGTTGGCCAGGGCCAATTTCTGCAGTTCCCAAAGGAATTCTACTTTAAAAGGTTGATCTCTGATGTGCATTTCAGGTTGAAAACCTTAGAGCAGCACTCTGAGTAGTTACAACATCCTGTCCAAAGTCAGCTTGGAGAACACACACAGCATTTGCCTAATAAGGGAAAAGACTGAGATAAGGGTGGGAGATGGAGAAGGAAGATGGTCTAAAAGTCACAAGGAAGCAGAGCTGACAGAGCTGAAGCAACTGCACGAGAGCAATGCTGTGCCAGTGCTGAGTGCAGAACAGCCAATTAGAACGCATTTCTTAGAAATGAGTATCCAATCGTTCAGTTCTATTTATGTGCAGTTGAATCACTTGTTAAGCTCTGGACCAGGGTTTGCAATGGATCCAAAGGTGTTTAAGAAAAGCTACCTACTGCTTTGTCATGGTCTGTAACACACTTATGAGAACTTGGCTAAGAACACGCACACACACACACACACACACACACACACAGAGGCATTTGGGGCTGAGAGCCCCAGATCCTTTGTTCTAACTGTGCCTTGCATCTACTAAAGTGCATTTGTGTGTTCAGTACACACTAATGGTGAACGTCAGAGCATTAGCATGGATTGGAGATGTCAGAGGGGAAGGGACACCAGTGTGGTTCATTCAGATGTGCTTGTGTGGTTCACCTGGGTCAGTGCAGCCTAGGAAGCCAGCAGAGAGCTGAGAGTCTGACACTGTTAGTACTGACATGGATCTGCAAATGCAGAAGACAAAACTTCATTCTTGCCAGATGGTGAAATGCAACCATTACCACTTACCTTCAAATATCTAATCATTTTTCACCCTCTGATGCAGGCTGAATTCAAAACATGCTATGTTAGTCTCTCTCTATTTTTTTTTTAATGAAACAATGTCTCACTAGGTAGTTCAGGCTCGTCTTGAACTCAACTATGTATCCCAGACTGGCCTCATACTCATGGCATTCCTTCTGCCTCAGCCTCCCACGTGCTGGGATTACAAGCATGTGTCAGCATGCCTGGTTTATGTTAGTCTCTTTTGATAAGGGAGAGGAAGAAAGAACTTTCATTGATATGACTTAGATTGCAAAAAAGATATTTTAATGTCAGATGCAAATAGTGATGATGTGCTATATGCTGGTATGCTTTTAGTATTTCTCCAAGAGGGAATTTGTTCGACTTTAGTGGTCACAACTAGTTTAATTCCTGAAGGGCAGATGTGGCCACCTTCCAAGATGGCAGGCATGGGCTGGTGAGACTCAGAGTCTCTGGCTCATGTACAATATAGTGTACTTCCAGTTACAGCAGGGAACCCCTTCCTTGACCAGTGAAGACCTTTGGCAGCACAGCCAAGAACTGAGGACTGAGTCTCCTAGATCCACTCAAGGTCAGTGTCTCTGGGAAGATTTGTCCATTACCCATTGAGTCTGTTCCAAGCCTTGAGTTTGCCCCTAGTGCCACAGACTCCTGCACCAGTTTGTTTGTTTGTTTGTTTGCTTTTTAATCAAAGAAGCTTACATGGACTTCTTCTCACTCTAAAAACTTCCCTTTTTCCCTTTCCCCTTGAGTTCACCAATAGCCTCCCATAACATTCATGTTCCTGATCACAATTCCCGTAATTCCCAAAGGAACTTTAGATAGTTGGTCTCTGATGTGCGTTTCAGATTGAAAACCTTAGATTAACCCAAAAAACAGCCACAGAAATAAGCAAGGAGAAGCCAAGTATAATGGCCCACAACTGCAGTGCTAGCATTCTAAAAGGTTAGTGTAGGATGATCAAAAGTTCAAGCCCAGCATGAGCAATTCAGAGGGACTTTGTCTGGAAATAAAAAAGGCCTGTTCTTGTAGCTCATTGTGAAGATCCTGATATTAGCCCCCAGTGCCATTAATGTATGAGAAAGGGGGAGAAAAATCAAGAAACAAAGAGGTAACCGGAGCCCAGAGAAAGCTAAACAATGGGAAGATGTAAGTAAATGTGAATCTAGACAGGTCAATTTTGTAGCTTATGAAGCCTTTGTCTCAAAATAAAAGATAAGCTGGGCATGGTGGCACATGCCTGTAATCCCAGCGCTCTGTGATACTAAGGAAGGAAGATTACAAATTAGAGCTTAGCCTGGGGCATGTTGCAATCAAGTGAGAACTATCTCAAAATGAAAAATGAAAAAGTTGCTGGGATGGAGCCAAGTGCAAAGGTCATGTATTCAATATCTAGTACCACACAAAAAAATTAAAATGACTGGGGATATAGCTCAGTGTAGAGACCCTAGGTTTAATACCAGGTACCTGTCAACTTGGGAGACTGGCTGAGGGCAGAGAGGATGGGGAGTCCTTAAGGAAAAGGGTGTCTTACCAGAGGTAGATGGGGTTGACCAAGTGATTAGGTGTCCCCAGAAACCAGGCAGTAAGCCAAGAAAGAGAGAAAGAAAGAAAGAAAGAAAGAAAGAAAGAAAGAAAGAAAGAAAG